TTCATAGAAATCCCTGTTTTTAACCAAAAAATATCGCTTATTTTCATAGAAATCCCTGATTTTCCCCTTCAATATCGCTTATTTTCACTTAAATCCATGTTTTTCCTCTAAAATATCCCTTATTTTCACAGAAATCCCTGTTTTTCCCCAAAAATATCGCTTATTTTCATAGAAATCCCTGTTTTTCCCCTAAAATATCGCTTATTTTCATAGAAATCCCTGTTTTTAACCTAAAATATAGCTATTTTTTCTTGGAAATCCCTGTTTTTAACCCTAAAATATCGCTTATTCTCATAGAAATCCCTGTTTCTAACCCTAAAATATCGCTTTTTTTCATGGAAATCCGTTCTTCCTCTAAAATATCGCTTATTTTCATGGAAATCCCTGCTTTTCCCCTAAAATATCACTTATTTTCATGGAAATCCCGGTTTTTAACCCTAAAATATCCCTTATTTTCACAGAAATCCCTGTTTCTAACCCTAAAATATCCCTTCTTCTCATAGAAATCCCTGTTTTTAACCCTAAAATATCCCTTATTTTCAATGGAAATCCCTGTTTTTCCCCTAAAATATCGCTTATTTTCATGGAAATCCCTGTTTTTCCCCTGAAATATCACTTATTTTCATAGAAATCCCTGTTTTTAACCCTAAAATATCCCTTATTTTCATAGAAAATCCCTGTTTTTAACACTAAAATATCCTTTTTTTTTCATAGAAATCCCTGTTTTTCCCGTTAAATATCGCTTATTTTAATGGAAATCCCTGTTTTTCCCCCTAAAATATCGCTTATTTTCATGGAAATCCCTGTTTTTCACCTAAAATATCGCTTATTTTCATAGAAATCCCTGATTTTCCCCTTCAACATAGCTTATTTTCACAGAAATCCCTGTTTTTCCCCATTAAAATATCGCTTATTTTCACAGAAATCCCTGTTTTTCCCCTTAAAATATCGCTTATTTTCATAGAAATCCCTTTTTTTCTCTTAAAATATCGCTTATTTTCATAGAAATCCCTGTTTTTCCCATTAAATATCGCTTATTTTTACAGAAATTCCTGATTTTCCCCTTCAATATCGCTTATTTTCACTTAAATCCCTGTTTTTCCTCTAAAATATCCCTTATTTTCACAGAAATCCCTGTTTTTCCCCTAAAATATCGCTTATTTTCATAGAAATCCCTGTTTTTCCCCTAAAATATCGCTTATTTTCATCGAAATCCCTGTTTTTAACCTAAAATATCGCTATTTTTTCATGGAAATCCCTGTTTTTAACCCTAAAATATCCCTTATTCTCATAGAAATCCCTGTTTCTAACCCTAAAATATCGCTTTTTTTCATGGAAATCCTGTTTTTCCTCTAAAATATCGCTTATTTTCATGGAAATCCCTGCTTTTCCCCTAAAATATCGCTTATTTTCATGGAAATCCCGGTTTTTAACCCTAAAATATCCCTTATTTTCACAGAAATCCCTGTTTTTAACCCTAAAATATCCCTTATTTTCATAGAAATCCCTGTTTTTAACCTAAAATATCCCTTATTTTCATAGAAATCCCTGTTTTTAACCTAAAATATCGCTTATTTTCATAGAAATCCCTGTTTTTAACCCTAAAATATCGCTTATTTTCATAGAAATCCCTGTTTTTAACCCTAAAATATCGCTTATTTTCAATGGAAATCCCTGTTTTTCCCCTAAAATATCGCTTATTTTCATGGAAATGCCTGCCTTTAACCTAAAATATCACTTATTTTCATGGAAATCCCTGTTTTTAACTCTAAAATATCCCTTATTTTCATGGAAATCCCTGTTTTTTACCGAAAATATCGCTGATTTTCACAGAAATCCCTGTTTTTCCTCTAAAATATCCCTTATTTTCCATGAAATCCTTGTTCTTAACCCTAAAATATTGCTTATTTTCACAGAAATCCCAGTTTTTCCCCATAAAATATCGCTTATTTTCGTAGAAATCCCTGTTTTTCCCCTAAAATATCGCTTATTTTCATAGAAATCCCTGTTTTTAACCAAAAAATATCGCTTATTTTCATAGAAATCCCTGATTTTCCCCTTCAATATCGCTTATTTTCACTTAAATCCATGTTTTTCCTCTAAAATATCCCTTATTTTCACAGAAATCCCTGTTTTTCCCCAAAAATATCGCTTATTTTCATAGAAATCCCTGTTTTTCCCCTAAAATATCGCTTATTTTCATAGAAATCCCTGTTTTTAACCTAAAATATCGCTATTTTTTCTTGGAAATCCCTGTTTTTAACCCTAAAATATCCCTTATTTTCATAGAAATCCCTGTTTCTAACCCTAAAATATCGCTTTTTTTCATGGAAATCCGTTCTTCCTCTAAAATATCGCTTATTTTCATGGAAATCCCTGTTTTTAACCTAAAATATCGCTATTTTTTCTTGGAAATCCCTGTTTTTAACCCTAAAATATCGCTTATTCTCATAGAAATCCCTGTTTCTAACCCTAAAATATCGCTTTTTTTCATGGAAATCCCTGTTTTTCCCCTAAAATATCGCTTATTTTCATGGAAATGCCTGCCTTTAACCTAAAATATCACTTATTTTCATGGAAATCCCTGTTTTTAACTCTAAAATATCCCTTATTTTCATGGAAATCCCTGTTTTTTACCGAAAATATCGCTGATTTTCACAGAAATCCCTGTTTTTCCTCTAAAATATCCCTTATTTTCCATGAAATCCCTGTTCTTAACCCTAAAATATTGCTTATTTTCACAGAAATCCCAGCTTTTCCCCATAAAATATCGCTTATTTTCATAGAAATCCCTGTTTTTCCTCTAAAATATCCCTTATTTTCACAGAAATCCCTGTTTTTCCCCAAAAATATCGCTTATTTTCATAGAAATCCCTGTTTTTAACCTAAAATATCGCTTATTTTCATAGAAATCCCTGTTTTTAACCCTAAAATATCGCTTATTCTCATAGAAATCCCTGTTTCTAACCCTAAAACACCACTTATTTTCATGGAAATCCGTTCTTCCTCTAAAATATCGCTTATTTTCATGGAAATCCCTGTTTTTAACCTAAAATATCGCTATTTTTTCTTGGAAATCCCTGTTTTTAACCCTAAAATATCGCTTATTCTCATAGAAATCCCTGTTTCTAACCCTAAAATATCGCTTTTTTTCATGGAAATCCGTTCTTCCTCTAAAATATCGCTTATTTTCATGGAAATCCCTGCTTTTCCCCTAAAATATCGCTTATTTTCATGGAAATCCCGGTTTTTAACCCTAAAATATCCCTTATTTTCACAGAAATCCCTGTTTTTCCCCTAAAATATCGCTTATTTTCATAGAAATCCCGTTTTTAACCCTAAAATATCCCTTATTTTCACAGAAATCCCTGTTTTTAACCCTAAAATATCGCTTATTTTCATGGAATTCCCTGTTTTTAACCCTAAAATATCCCTTATTTTCAAAGAAATCCCTGTTTTTAACCTAAAATATCCCTTTTTTTCCAGGAAATCCCTGTTTTTAACCCTAAAATATCCCTTCTTCTCATAGAAATCCCTGTTTCTAACCCTAAAATATCGCTTTTTTCAATGGAAATCCCTGTTTTTCCCCTATAATATCGCTTATTTTCATGGAAATGCCTGCCTTTAACCTAAAATATCACTTATTTTCATGGAAATCCCTGTTTTTAACCCTAAAATATCGCTTATTTTCATAGAAATCCCTGTTTTTCCCGTTAAATATCGCTTATTTTAATGGAAATGCCTGCTTTTAACCTAAAATATCCCTTATTTTCATGGAAATCCCTGTTTTTCACCTAAAATATCGCTGATTTTCATAGAAATCCCTGTTTTCTCCTAAAATATCGCTTATTTTCATGGAAATCCCTGTTTTTCCCCTAAAATATCCCTTATTTTCATGGAAATCCCTGTTTTTCCCCTTAAATATAGCTTATTTTCATAGAAATCCCTTTTTTTCTCTTAAAATATCGCTTATTTTCATAGAAATCCCTGTTTTATCCATTAAATATCGCTTATTTTCATAGAAATCCCTGATTTTCCCCTTCAATATCGCTTATTTTCACTTAAATCCCTGTTTTTCCTCTAAAATATCCCTTATTTTCATAGAATTCCTGTTTTTCCCCTAAAATATCGCTTGTTTTCATAGAAATCCCTGTTTTTAACCTAAAATATCGCTATTTTTTTTTCACAGAAATCCCTGTTTTTAACCCTAAAATATCTCTTATTCTCATAGAAATCCCTGTTTCTAACCCTAAAGTATCGCTTATTTTCAATGGAAATCCCTGTTTTTCCCCTAAAATATCGCTTATTTTCATGGAAATGCCTGCCTTTAACCTAAAATATCCCTTATTTTCATGGAAATCCCTGTTTTTAACTCTAAAATATCCCTTATTTTCATGGAAATCCCTGTTTTTTACCGAAAATATCGCTGATTTTCACAGAAATCCCTGTTTTTCCTCTAAAATATCCCTTATTTTCCATGAAATCCTTGTTCTTAACCCTAAAATATTGCTTATTTTCACAGAAATCCCAGTTTTTCCCCATAAAATATCGCTTATTTTCGTAGAAATCCCTGTTTTTCCCCTAAAATATCGCTTATTTTCATAGAAATCCCTGTTTTTAACCCAAAAAATATCGCTTATTTTCATAGAAATCCCTGTTTTTCCCCTAAAATATCGCTTATTTTCATAGAAATCCATGTTTTTCCTCTAAAATATCCCTTATTTTCACAGAAATCCCTGTTTTTCCCCTAAAATATCGCTTATTCTCATAGAAATCCCTGTTTTTAACCCTAAAATATCGCTTTTTTTCATGGAAATCCGTTCTTCCTCTAAAATATCGCTTATTTTCATGGAAATCCCTGTTTTTAACCTAAAATATCGCTTATTTTCATGGAAATCCCTGTTTTTAACCCTAAAATATCGCTTATTTTCATAGAAATCCCTGTTTCTAACCCTAAAATATCGCTTTTTTTCATGGAAATCCCTGTTTTTCCCCTAAAATATCGCTTATTTTCATGGAAATCCCTGATTTTCCCCTAAAATATCCCTTATTTTCATGGAAATCCCTGTTTTTAACCCTAAAATATCCCTTATTTTCATGGAAATCCCTGTTTTTCCCCTAAAATATCGCTTATTTTCATGGAAATCCCTGTTTTTCCCTAAAATATCCCTTATTTTCATAGAAATCCCTGTTTTTCCCCTAAAATATCGCTTATTTTCATAGAAATCCCTGTTTTTCCCCTAAAATATCGCTTATTTTCATAGAAATCCCTGTTTTTCCCCTAAAATATCGCTTATTTTCATAGAAATCCCTGTTTTTAACCTAAAATATCGCTTATTTTCATAGAAATCCCTGATTTTCCCCTAAAATATCGCTTATTTTCTAAAATATCCCTTATTTTCACAGAAATCCCTGTTTTTCTAACCCTAAAATATCGCTTATTTTCATAGAAATCCCTGTTTTTCCCCTAAAATATCGCTTATTTTCATAGAAATCCCTGTTTTTAACCTAAAATATCGCTTATTTTCATGGAAATCCCTGTTTTTAACCCTAAAATATCCCTTATTTTCACAGAAATCCCTGTTTTTAACCCTAAAATATCGCTTTTTTTCATGGAAATCCCTGTTTTTCCCCTAAAATATCGCTTATTTTCATGGAAATCCCTGTTTTTAACCTAAAATATCGCTATTTTTTTTTCACGGAAATCCCTGTTTTTAACCCTAAAATATCCCTTATTTTCATAGAAATCCCTGTTTCTAACCCTAAAATATCGCTTTTTTTCAATGGAAATCCCTGTTTTTCCCCTAAAATATCGCTTATTTTCATGGAAATGCCTGCCTTTAACCTAAAATATCACTTATTTTCATGGAAATCCCTGTTTTTAACTCTAAAATATCCCTTATTTTCATGGAAATCCCTGTTTTTTACCGAAAATATCGCTGATTTTCACAGAAATCCCTGTTTTTCCTCTAAAATATCCCTTATTTTCCATGAAATCCCTGTTCTTAACCCTAAAATATTGCTTATTTTCACAGAAATCCCAGTTTTTCCCCATAAAATATCGCTTATTTTCATAGAAATCCCTGTTTTTCCCCTAAAATATCGCTTATTTTCATAGAAATCCCTGTTTTTCCCCAAAAATATCGCTTATTTTCATAGAAATCCCTGATTTTCCCCTTCAATATCGCTTATTTTCACTTAGAAATCCCTGTTTTTAACCCTAAAATATCCCTTATTTTCATAGAAATCCCTGTTTTTAACCCTAAAATATCACTTATTTTCATAGAAATCCCTGTTTTTCCCCTAAAATATCGCTTATTTTCATAGAAATCCCTGTTTTTAACCTAAAATATCGCTATTTTTTCTTGGAAATCCCTGTTTTTAACCCTAAAATATCGCTTATTCTCATAGAAATCCCTGTTTCTAACCCTAAAATATCGCTTTTTTTCATGGAAATCCGTTCTTCCTCTAAAATATCGCTTATTTTCATGGAAATCCCTGCTTTTCCCCTAAAATATCGCTTATTTTCATGGAAATCCCTGTTTTTAACCCTAAAATATCGCTTATTTTCACAGAAATCCCTGTTTCTAACCCTAAAATATCGCTTTTTTTCAATGGAAATCCCTGTTTTTAACCCTAAAATATCGCTTATTTTCACAGAAATCCCTGTTTTTAACCCTAAAATATCCCTTATTTTCATGGAATTCCCTGTTTTTAACCCTAAAATATCCCTTATTTTCAAAGAAATCCCTGTTTTTAACCTAAAATATCCCTTTTTTTCTAGGAAATCCCTGTTTTTAACCCTAAAATATCCCTTCTTCTCATAGAAATCCCTGTTTCTAACCCTAAAATATCGCTTTTTTCAATGGAAATCCCTGTTTTTCCCCTATAATATCGCTTATTTTCATGGAAATGCCTGCCTTTAACCTAAAATATCACTTATTTTCATGGAAATCCCTGTTTTTAACCCTAAAATATCCCTTATTTTCATAGAAATCCCTGTTTTTAACACTAAAATATCCTTTTTTTTTCATAGAAATCCCTGTTTTTCCCGTTAAATATCGCTTATTTTAATGGAAATGCCTGCTTTTAACCTAAAATATCCCTTATTTTCATGGAAATCCCTGTTTTTCACCTAAAATATCGCTGATTTTCATAGAAATCCCTGTTTTCTCCTAAAATATCGCTTATTTTCATGGAAATCCCTGTTTTTCCCCATTAAATATCCCTTATTTTCATGGAAATCCCTGTTTTTCCCCTTAAATATAGCTTATTTTCATAGAAATCCCTTTTTTTCTCTTAAAATATCGCTTATTTTCATAGAAATCCCTGTTTTTCCCATTAAATATCGCTTATTTTCATAGAAATCCCTGATTTTCCCCTTCAATATCGCTTATTTTCACTTAAATCCCTGTTTTTCCTCTAAAATATCCCTTATTTTCATAGAATTCCTGTTTTTCCCCTAAAATATCGCTTGTTTTCATAGAAATCCCTGTTTTTAACCTAAAATATCGCTATTTTTCTTTCACAGAAATCCCTGTTTTTAACCCTAAAATATCTCTTATTCTCATAGAAATCCCTGTTTCTAACCCTAAAGTATCGCTTATTTTCAATGGAAATCCCTGTTTTTCCCCTAAAATATCGCTTATTTTCATGGAAATGCCTGCCTTTAACCTAAAATATCACTTATTTTCATGGAAATCCCTGTTTTTAACTCTAAAATATCCCTTATTTTCATGGAAATCCCTGTTTTTTACCGAAAATATCGCTGATTTTCACAGAAATCCCTGTTTTTCCTCTAAAATATCCCTTATTTTCCATGAAATCCCTGTTCTTAACCCTAAAATATTGCTTATTTTCACAGAAATCCCAGTTTTTCCCCATAAAATATCGCTTATTTTCATAGAAATCCCTGTTTTTCCCCTAAAATATCGCTTATTTTCATAGAAATCCCTGTTTTTAACCAAAAAATATCGCTTATTTTCATAGAAATCCCTGATTTTCCCCTTCAATATCGCTTATTTTCACTTAAATCCATGTTTTTCCTCTAAAATATCCCTTATTTTCACAGAAATCCCTGTTTTTCCCCAAAAATATCGCTTATTTTCATAGAAATCCCTGTTTTTCCCCTAAAATATCGCTTATTTTCATAGAAATCCCTGTTTTTAACCTAAAATATCGCTATTTTTTCTTGGAAATCCCTGTTTTTAACCCTAAAATATCGCTTATTCTCATAGAAATCCCTGTTTCTAACCCTAAAATATCGCTTTTTTTCATGGAAATCCGTTCTTCCTCTAAAATATCGCTTATTTTCATGGAAATCCCTGTTTTTAACCTAAAATATCGCTATTTTTTCTTGGAAATCCCTGTTTTTAACCCTAAAATATCGCTTATTCTCATAGAAATCCCTGTTTCTAACCCTAAAATATCGCTTTTTTTCAATGGAAATCCCTGTTTTTCCCCTAAAATATCGCTTATTTTCATGGAAATGCCTGCCTTTAACCTAAAATATCACTTATTTTCATGGAAATCCCTGTTTTTAACTCTAAAATATCCCTTATTTTCATGGAAATCCCTGTTTTTTACCGAAAATATCGCTGATTTTCACAGAAATCCCTGTTTTTCCTCGAAAATATCCCTTATTTTCCATGAAATCCCTGTTCTTAACCCTAAAATATTGCTTATTTTCACAGAAATCCCAGCTTTTCCCCATAAAATATCGCTTATTTTCATAGAAATCCCTGTTTTTCCTCTAAAATATCCCTTATTTTCACAGAAATCCCTGTTTTTCCCCAAAAATATCGCTTATTTTCATAGAAATCCCTGTTTTTCCCCTAAAATATCGCTTATTTTCATAGAAATCCCTGTTTTTAACCCTAAAATATCGCTTATTCTCATAGAAATCCCTGTTTTTAACCCTAAAATACGCTTATTTTCATGGAAATCCGTTCTTCCTCTAAAATATCGCTTATTTTCATGGAAATCCCTGTTTTTAACCTAAAATATCGCTATTTTTTCTTGGAAATCCCTGTTTTTAACCCTAAAATATCGCTTATTCTCATAGAAATCCCTGTTTCTAACCCTAAAATATCGCTTTTTTTCATGGAAATCCGTTCTTCCTCTAAAATATCGCTTATTTTCATGGAAATCCCTGCTTTTCCCCTAAAATATCACTTATTTTCATGGAAATCCCGGTTTTTAACCCTAAAATATCCCTTATTTTCATAGAAATCCCTGTTTTTCCCCTAAAATATCGCTTATTTTCATAGAAATCCCTGTTTTTCTCCTAAAATATCGCTCATATTCATGGAAACTCCCCGTTTTTAACCCTAAAATATCCCTTATTTTCATGGAAATCCCTGTTTTTAACCCTAAAATATCGCTTATTTTCATGGAATCCCTGTTTTTCCCCTAAAATATCGCTTATTTTCATAGAAATCCCTGTTTTTAACCATTAAATATCCCTTATTTTCACAGAAATCCCTGTTTTTCCCCTAAAATATCGCTTATTTTCATAGAAATCCCTGTTTTTCCCCTAAAATATCGCTTATTTTCATAGAAATCCCTGTTTTTCCCCTAAAATATCGCTTATTTTCATAGAAATCCCTGTTTTTCCCCTAAAATATCGCTTATTTTCATAGAAATCCCTGTTTTTAACCCTAAAATATCCCTTATTTTCATAGAAATCCCTGTTTTTCCCCTGAAATATCGCTTATTTTCATAGAAATCCCTGTTTTTCCCCTAAAATATCGCTTATTTTCATAGAAATCCCTGTTTTTCCCCTAAAATATCGCTTATTTTCACAGAAATCCCTGTTTTTCCCTAAAATATCGCTTATTTTCATAGAAATCCCTGTTTTTCCCCTAAAATATCGCTATTTTCATGGAAATCCCTGTTTTTCCCCTAAAATATCCCTTATTTTCATGGAAATCCCTGTTTTTCCCCTTAAATATAGCTTATTTTCATAGAAATCCCTTTTTTTCTCTTAAAATATCGCTTATTTTCATAGAAATCCCTGTTTTTAACCTAAAATATCGCTTATTTTCATAGAAATCCCTGATTTTCCCCTTCAATATCGCTTATTTTCACAGAAATCCCTGTTTTTCCCCTAAAATATCCCTTATTTTCATAGAAATCCCTGTTTTTAACCTAAAATATCGCTATTTTTTTTTCATGGAAATCCCTGTTTTTAACCCTAAAATATCCCTTATTCTCATAGAAATCCCTGTTTCTAACCCTAAAATATCGCTTTTTTCAATGGAAATCCCTGTTTTTCCCCTAAAATATCGCTTATTTTCATGGAAATGCCTGCCTTTAACCTAAAATATCACTTATTTTCATGGAAATCCCTGTTTTTAACCCT